ATGCTACTAGGGGCTCCTGGCCTTACTACTAGGAGCAAGGACGCTACTAGGAACAAGGACGCTAAGACGTGACTCAAGTTGCCATCGGCTCCCCACCACTGTGGTCCCCCACGATGAGGCTGCTGTAGCCATTGAACCACTCGCCGCGGGTTTGTTGTAGCAGGGTTCCTCCCTCCCACCATCTGTTATACGCAATCCGGCTTCTAAAATTCCTGACAAGCGCAAGTTGCACTGAAATTCACAAACGAGTAGGACATCGAGGATCCAGGATGCTTCAAATGCAGGCGAGTGTCAGCACAAAGAACATGCAACTGCCTTGGGCAGGAAGAACATGCTAAACGGTTCGGAAAAGAAAAGGTTTAACACAAATACATAAAACGAGACCGGACCGTGCGACAGTTGGCACAAAATGCCTTGCCAGCCAAGAAGCTAAAGACACCAAGAATGCCCCAAACGGTATTGGTGGTATCTGCATCCTGTCGGCAACAAAGATTCGCTCCAGTCGATTAAGGACTGCTATGAAAAGAGCTTGAACAACTTATTGCCAGGGTCCTGCACATATACATTTTCCTCATTGAGTGTGCTCAATGTGAAAGTCAGTACCTTCAAGCAAGAACGTCAACAACAACTCCGCGTACCAACTGATGAGGGACAGACCGACTGGGACGTGAACTGGCAATGCTTCAACAAAGCCAAGTCCCGGGCAGCATTCGGGATGGCCATAGCAATTGCCAATGGAAGCACAGATCCATAGTAGCCTTTGGATGAACAAAATACTTATTTGCAGGAAGCTGCTTCTTTTAGTATCAACTTGTTTGGCAGCCATCCAATTTGCAATCCAATCAGACAAGCAGCCCCAGATCAGCGTAAACCCCCATTTCCCGCTGATGTAAAATCGCATGGCTCTGCAATGACAGGACCCACTTCCTTTGGAAGGAGCCTGCTAAACCACGGTGGGCTCTAGTCTAGGCGCTCGTGTAGTTAGCTGGCTAGGTCAAAAATTGTCCCGCCGAGTGCGGGGGGGCGGAAACAAAGGGGGTGCTGCTTCCTTGTGTGGGAGGCTCGGGCTATGGGTCAGGTAGGCTGGTGGCTGGATCTCGTTGAACAAGGGGCCTGGCCGCACGCCTATGAGGAGCCGCTTGCTGCAGATACGAAGATGCAAGTGCTCTGTCAAGTAAACATGACACCCTTTCAAGCCAAGTAAAGCCTACAACAGGTCTAACAAAGTCTAACAGTCTAACACTTCAGGCATTTCAATTCATCTCTCTCACCATCACCAAACGCTTGGGTACAAAGTAACAGAAAAAGTGACACGCTCTCAGGCTCAGGCCCGACGCAGGTCCTTGGATTCTGAAAGAAAGTATCCCAGTAAACTCATATCAAACATATGTACATGTATATATATATACACATTTACGTACAGTATAGTCTTATGTATATACATCTGATCCATTCATTCCTTCTGATGTTCTCGTTCCATGTCTGAAGATCGGACCTTGCTGAGCCTCTCTGACATTCGTTGAAGCTCTCCTTGAAGGAGCAGCTGCCTGGCACTCACCCACTCCAACGCCGACCCCGGCCCTCACCCGTCACCTGTCCGGACATCAAGGTCCGGGCATCTCCTTCCACTCCATTCCTTTCTCTTCAGCCATGGCAGCGAGGCGAAGCGGCGAAGCGTGAGGCGTTCGTCACCACGGCTGGGACACTTGACTGTGAACAGAAGATGTGAATATGTGATTGATATATGGCAGCGTGTTTGGTTAGCAGAGTTGCTAATGAAGTTGGTTTTTTGTCGCCGCGGTGCTTGTGACCACAAAAGGCCAATAGAAACAACAAGGATGTGAAAGGAACATCCTGTCCTCATGTTTCATGGTCACAAAACAGTCCTACCATGATCAACCATGTACTTGTACGATGAGGCTCCAATGGCTGAAGACGCCCCACTGCTCCAAGCATTGAACAGCAACGAGCGCCTGACAAGCAAGCGATATGACCCAATGCAAGCAGCCTAAGAGGTGCAAGTAGTCACCAATGTAGCGGAAGATGTTCCTTGGCATGTCATGTCCACAGTGTCCATAGCGAAAAGAAAGAAGAGAGACACACTTCGACAATTGTATTCAGTTATCTCGATTCCCACGATGGGAAGGATGGCGAAGAACCGCAAGGTGGAAGAGTCAGCTGCAACAGTGTGGTTGAACAATGTTTGCACTCTGACAGTCAATGTGGTTGCAAGTCGGCTGCAAGTCTGTGGTGGGAAAACCTGTTTGTGGGGAAAGTATCATGCGAAACGACCATGAATCAAAACGTGGAAAAGTAGGGTGACAGCTTGCGAAAAACCTCAGCAGGTACGTCCAGAAAGCGCCCTTTCTGGATTTCACGACCGGGCTATCACTGTCTTCGTTGGGCAGTGAGTGATAGCGGTCCACTGCCCCCTGCGAACAAAAGTTGGTTGGAAAACTGTGACAGAGGTGGCGGTGGAGAACCCTTTGCCCAGGGGTGGACACACACAAATCGCCGGCGTCGGCGCTTTTTCAAAAAACGGTGGCAGGCGTTGTGGTTGTGTCCTTTTTGGACATAGAGCCTCACTAGCTCGGCGGCAGCAGCTTCAGCGCTGGAGGGTGGAAATGTGTATTCATGCATATCGAAATAGATCTGGAAGCTCAGGTCTGTTAGCTTGAGTTCTTCATGCGGAAAAGCCGAATGCAAAACTGCAGAACGCTACAGAGTCTGTTGGAAAATCAGTTCCCGTGGTGAGGCCCGGCAGCCTTTGTGGCAGTTAATTCAGTGGTTGTGTCGGTGACTTCCGGTGGAGTTCCTGTGAAAAGTGGTGAGGTCAGTTAGTGCTTGCACGATGAGACAGCGCCCCAATGACGGGGATCACACTCAGCACCCGAGTGGGACGGCTGAGCGAAACACACTTCGACAATTGTATGCAGTTATCTCGATTCCCACGATGGGAAGGATGGCGAAGAACCGCAAGGTGGAAGAGTCAGCTGCAACAGTGTGGTTGAACAATGTTTGCACTCTGACAGTCAATGTGGTTGCAAGTCGGCTGCAAGTCTGCGGTGGGAAAACCTGTTTGTGGGGAAAGTATCATGCGAAACGACCATGAATCAAAACGTGGAAAAGTAGGGTGACAGCTTGCGAAAAACTTCAGCAGGTACGTCCAGAAAGCGTCCTTTCTGGATTTCACGACCGGGCTATCACTGTCTTCGTTGGGCAGTGAGTGATAGCGGTCCACTGCCCCCCTGCGAACAAAAGTTGGTTGGAAAACTGTGACAGAGGTGGCGGTGGAGAACCCTTTGCCCAGGGGTGGACACACACACACACCGACCTATCAGCGAAGCGAACACGCGCAGTCGCCACGTGCAGCCGCAGCGCGGACAGTTCCTTTCTGAAAGATTCTGAGCGCTTTTTCCTGGAAGACCGTTTTGCTTCTTCGCTTGTCTGTCAGCCTGTCATCAAACCTCCAACCTTCGTTGCTTTTGCTTCCAACAAAGCTCTGGGAATCGCACCAGGAATAGTTTCGCACCAGCTTCTCCTTCAACAAGTGACCGGACCAGCGTGCTGCCCTGCTGGCAGTCCTGGCACTGAAATTGGATTCCTTGGTCCCAGACCTGCAATGTATATAATAGACATATACAGTCATATATATATATATGGTTATATATGGTTACATATTATATATATATGTGTGTGTTTTCAAATTTACATTTGGCCCAAAGCGTTCAAATCACCAACCAGAAAAATGCTGTTTGAGCCTCTTCCAGTGACCTGTGGAGATTCTTGGGATGCAGGTAGAGGCAGTCACGATTCATCAAACATCCAAACAGGGAGGACTCGCACCCGCGCAAGTTGCCAGGTTTGTCAGCTTCATCTACCTGGACACGTGGGCAATAACATGTATATTGGACGATTTCAGTCTATAACATGTTGATGAATAAACCGCCCCATAGAAAAGAGGTGTTTCATGGTTTTTCAATCCAATTGGGGTGGGTTTACTACTCAAGAGTCTACATTATATGGACTGGGACTCTTCAGTCCATTCTATCGATGGACGTCCAGTTTCTGAGCAGAGCGCTGGCGCTGGCGGCACGGAGACTTCTGCGGCAGCCTCTTCGGCCATATTCTGCGACTCCCTGGAGCCACAGCGCCAGAAAAAAGAGAGTCCGACCGTCTCACGAGTTGTTGATCCCCGGGATCTGCGTATCCAGCTGCCGCTTCTGGAACGCCCGGAATGATCAAACCATATCAAACCCCATGCTCTGAACCAAAACATGAGCCTGGTGGCCCGGTAGGTTTCGTTTTTTCAGTGTCAAAACCTCCCAAAACTGGAGGAAGGGGGATCAAAACGGCCTCGGACCCGTATAAACTTTGATGCACAATGCATATTAATCGATCACAGTTACAGGCTGCGGTTGGAGGCTGTGGGGCCAGTGTGTGGCCAAGGAGCGAGTGGTGTGTAGCCCTGTGAAGGAGTAAAGGACCAAAAAGATCACAGATCAAAACTTTCCGCGGCTTTCCGAAAGCTGTTGACCCTAGTGGCATTCTAGAAGAAAAAACACGAGTCCCTAGCTAAAGCTGCCCGATCAATGGTGGTAGCTCCCGTGTGATCATGCCCTCTTCCACCTTTGTGGGCAGAATGTGGCAGTTCACTGTATAAAGTGATCTAAAGTGTATCATATGCAGCAAAATAGCGCACGCGGCACTTCAAATCCATACTCCCCCTTCACGCGGGCCGGTGACTCGTTATAAAGAGATCCATCGATCCATTGGGGAAGCCACGGGTTCCACGGAACCGCCTCCGGGCTCGGGGTGTCCACCACTTTTGCGCTCATCTAGAGCCAGTGTATGGCAGAAAAGGGTGCATGGCATCTGCTCAAGGAGGCCTGCAGTATGATTTATGGCCGATGCTGAGATGAAACACTTTCAAGCTGAGTGAGGAATCCCCTTTTTGGTGCTGCAATATACGCGGAGGTCCACTGCCTACCATGGCTCAGCCATCATGGGTTGGACAGCGGCATGGATGGCATGATGGCATATCTACGATCATTGGATGCATAACTTAAGACTTGATCCTTTTCATCACAGCATGAAATATTACACATCTTCAACAATACTATATTATATTTCAAATGATTTCAACCTCTCCAACCAAACAGGCGTTCGATCAGCATTCCAATCGAAAGAATTTCGCCGTCTCACCGGTCGGTCAGCGCGGAGACCGCGCGGCGCGGTCTCAAAAACCCATCGGAGCGAGCGCTCGCCGTCTCACGGTGCCGCGTGCAAGACAGCATCTGCCTGGGCAGGATGCCGGTTTTTACCGGCCGTGCACCGGAAGGCCGGTCTAAGGTGGGTCTGTGGTGGGTCTAAGGTGTCGGCCTCAGCCTTGGGCACAGCCTGGACCTGTGAAACATCGGAAAAGAAAGAACACCAGGCATGCGCGCGCACACACACACATCTGTATATATATATATATTGTTTTATGCTCAAGTGAGGGCCTCTTTTTGCTGCACAACCGGCAATGGCAAAGGTTGTGGTGCAGTGAGATTGGATTCAAACTAGAAATCGAAAATCACGTAAAGATCTACACCACGGCACACTCGTAAGTGGAGTGAATTT